CGATTACTATTCCACTCTTATCTAGCATCGAGCACGTGAATCTGTTGCTAAAAATCTTCCCGGCGATTTATTGCAGTCACGAGCCGCGATTGTGGCAACCGTGTAGCAAAAGATTCGCGGCGACCCAATTCGACCATCTCGCGGCCACTTACCGGCCATCATTTTGTCTTCATTTGAAACCCGTATCTCTGGCGGATTTTTCCCGGATCCGTGACGGCCGCTTATTCTCACGTAACAGCTCGATTCGCATCGTGCACCGTGGAAAATGCAGTTCGTTTCGCTTGTTTTAGCACGCCACCGCATTCCTTTTACCGCATGCGGCGATTAATTGAGAAATTAAAGTGGCATTGATCGCCGGAAACACAAATTATCCGCGAATCGATGCGCGAATATTATTTTATCATCGAGATTGCATAGATGAGTGTGCATATAATAACAGGCTGTTTCAGGTTTGCTTTTTTCAGCCTTTTTAATATTTGCTATTGCTTTGACGTAGAAGCTCGGTTGTTTCTATTGTAATTTAATACAATATCCGTGATTGTTTTGAACAATTTAACGTTAAAACTACCAGGTGGATCAAATTCATCCATTTTAGAATGTTTAGTTTGCAAATATTTAAATTCTGACACGGCTTTTGCGAGAGACTGTAAAATAAATTTGTGTATTTATAAAGATACATCAATAAAATACTCATCAAATGTCAAGAAATATATTGTTCTAACTATAGTAGAAACTTAGAAATAAGTCACTCTAATTGCTCGGTAATTTTAATGTTAACTTATTATCAATGTTTACATCTATTAATCGAGAAATTATATTTTTTATTTCCTATTATCTGAATCGAACGATGAAAGGTGCTCAGAAAGTAAAGTAAAACGAAATTTTATTCAGCGCCTGATAATTTATATGTTTCGCGCAACAATAAATTTTCTAAAATATAGAAATAAAGAAGGTTTTTAAGGAGGACTCTCTCGTTACACGATCACGTGAGAAATGTAAATAATTAATCAATTTCGATTCACTGAACCCACCGCCGCAGGATAACCGATCCGCGCGCACTACGAAGCAGAATTTTCCTCTCGCGATTTCACTTTCGCCGTGGTGGCATAATCGCGCGTGTTACGCATGGTAATCCCAATATCGCGGCGTGTCCTCGCGCCATTACGACGTGCACATACGAGGAAATAAAAGGACCCATTACCAAAACGTTTTTTTATTCCACGGGCGTGCGCACCACCGGTATAGAAAATACCAGGGTCGGTTGAAAACTAACTAACTTTCATCTGCATCTCGAGAACAAATGCACCTATCAAAATAATACGAAAAGTGTATAAAACTGAGATTCAACAGGTACAAAATCCATATTTATTTTTCTACGTAATCATCGTTGCATCCGATAGATTTTCACCAATGCGAGACGAGTTTCTGCATTTCGCGAATGAAAAATTCTGATTTATGGTATCTTCTTTCGATAGAGAAAGTCATTGCTGCCTTCACTTCATTGTTCAGTTTGGAATTAACACCTTTAACGGTCGTTTTCAATTCCAGGATAAAACGAAAATTACAAATTTAAGATGGCTGGCTAATGGATGGTACATTTCAGTTTTGCATAGGTGCTTCGTTGACGTCGAGTTTGTACCAATCATCGATCTAAATGATGCTTCTTTTTATATTTGAGTTTATTTTAAGGTTGTCACAACAATAAAGTTATTAGTGACCAATATTATTATATAATGACTTTTTGTATAACAATATACTAGTTGTATGAATAATAAGATTTACGGAATAGACATCTCTTAATTACAATTTAGAAGGTTAATTTGTCTGAACAACTTTCCGGATACTGTTGTTGGGATCATTTAGGTTCGTCTTCATACTACATGAGAATGTTCGTTTATAGAGGGGATATGTATGTAGTTACAATCTAAATCGAAAGTTCATTAGTTTTCAGTCGAATCTCGGAACGTCAGCCAGCGGTTCGCTGACAATTCATTTTGTACAACCAACTCGGTGAGAGGTATCCCAGAATCGTGTTATTTATCGCCGCCTCCTTTTATGCTGCTTTTTCAAGCAAGAGGAATCTCTCCGAAACGATTGAAGCGATACGAACGACACTTTCGCAAACTTTTTGCTACAATATCGGCACTCCAAATTAGAAAGATCCTTTCACCATAATTGAAGCGTTTTTTCATCTTCGGGAAACCATTCTTTCTTACGAGTATTTACCAATGAATTTTTCATAGATTTCCGAAAATTTCACTTTTCTAAACTTGGAAAATCTCAATCAGAATTTGAACAAAATACTTCCGAACGTTTAATAAGCCCGTTTATTATACTTTTGATATACTCTTAAATAATCTTACAGTCCGTTCATTTACTTTGCAGTAATAAAAATACAAAGCGTCACTCTTATTTGCATCAACATTAACGATTCTCATTTCCATTAAAATCACATCATCATACGATTCACGTATTAGAAAAACTCGGAAGACCATAACAATATTCGCCGGCTTTCATTAAACAAGCAACAAGTTTCCAATCTTCTGATCCAATGCCGCAGTTGATAAAAAATACAGCCTCAAGCGGCTGATGAAACGGTTAAAGAAGCATTCGTGCTTGAGAAAATTCACAAAACTCATGAGAATTAAACTCACATCCAAATGTAATTAATGAATTACATCTGAAACGAGGTGGAGAAGCTCGGAGAAGCGTGCGTTTCGATTTCCACCGGTTCATCTCGTCGGTTTTCCGCTTTAAGGATCGTGCAAAGCTCAACCCCGGGGAATCCTTCAGTGAGACCTCTCTCGTATATTCGTAGGTAAAAACCATTATGTCCCGGAACGAGAGCGCTTTCAATTTTATTAAGCCTTAAGGGATCGCGTATGAATAATGCGGAGGAAACGCCGCCACTGTTTCCTCGTTAATCCTCCGCTCAAGGGTCGCGCCTTATTAAAGAGCCAGCGGTTCTCGTTTCCGCCGCGCTTTTCTTACCTGCACGCTTTCATCTATTTTTCCCACCAATTAGTCGGTGTTTCGTGGCGCGCGGCCGGCCACTGTAAAGGGAAAATGAATTAACGAAGCCACGCGAGCCGCCGGAACGAAAACCGCTGGAGGAACGAAGACCCTTTCTCTCGAAGTTCCTTCGAAAGCGTGGCTCGCGTCTGATACACCGGCACGCCATACAAAGAGCACACCAATGCACGTTGACTCCTTGAAGAACAAAGTTTACAGCAACACGTAAATCAACTGCCGCAGAAAAATTCGCTAATACGAAAAATGTGCTAACACTTTGATCAAAGTAAATGCAGATGTATTCTAAGTGTAGAAACTCGAGCGTTTTAGCTGATTGTAATTAGCTAAAGTCCATAATGGAATTGATAATTATTAAAGATACTGTAGTCCAGTGAGCACGGTTACGAGAGAAATCGTAAAGCGAAGGGTTAATAGAATAGAATATCAGTGAGCGGAACTTTTGGGTTACTTTTCTCGTTCGCTTAGACTTTGAATGTAATCAAGGGAACGTCGCGTCGAACGGTTCGTCACGCTCGTTCCTGTTTGTCACTGTTTCCGCGAAAAATTGTCAAAGAAAATTTAGATCTTTAAATCCATTTTAATACCAAAAGCCAAAGATATTAAATTAAAATTCAATAAGAGTTAAATAAATTCAGATTAGATTCAGTTTGTTACACGATAATTTTAGAGATGGTTAAAAAATTTCATTGACTAGTACGTACAAAATCAAATATTTTCGCATTGATCGCGGCTCATCATCGGTCAATTCCAGGAATTTCACAATCGCTCGGCGGTCGCGACTTTTATTACGAACGCGCGGATACTCCAAAAAATCCTTCTTAATAGGATTGAGTGAGCAACCCATTTCGCAGCTGTAAAATCCCGTAAAACTCATTACATTCTTCCAATAATTAAATATCCAAAAGTAATAATAGTGGGGATCGCTAGCGGCCGAAAATCGCCGAATATCTCCGATAAGGAACGAAAAATTATTAAGATTTCGAAACACTAGCAATTCACCATGAGTCATCGTTCGCGAAGGAGCAAAACTTATAACTTAAACTTACACCGCGAAACGTCGGATCTGCCTCCAAGGACTCTTCTTTCATAAATCAGAGTATAACACGTCGCGAAATCTGTTGATTTCCGAGGACCGTGACGGGACTGACGAAAACGTCCAGTAGCGCGGAAACGCGAAACAAAAAACCATCTTTCCGTTTAACTTCGCGCCGTTCGCGCATAGTTCCGCGAATCGCTAAAATCTTTTTGTAGGAGCAGAATTCGAGGAAGTTGTTTCTTGGCAGCAGGTCATCCGTCTCTTCTCTCACGCTTGAATCTTTGAGCGTGAAAATCGGACACCTGTTGAAAGGATAGGAGATGAACGACTTGGCAGGGTTAGCTTCTTCAAGGATGCTAGCACGTGTCGCGTATCTCTTGAAAACAGTTGCCGTAAACGCGAAACTTTCAGTTGCTTCGTTGAATTGACATTTGAAATAAATGCTTCATTAAGGATTTAATGATGATCTAATACGTATATTTAGCATAGGTAAGAAAAATATTTTTAACGAATAGATCTAATTTATTAATGAATCTTGAAGTATTATAGTTCACCTTCTAAGATGATTGAATGAATGAATGAATAACCTCGACCAGTAGAGTCTAAGAGTTACGCATCACTGATAGTTTTCAAAAGTTATAGAAAAAATAATGTAAATATTTTCGACAGTAATTTCTTAACAGTAAGAAGACAATTCGCGCAAAGGAAAAAGTCAATAGGGAAATATGTGTCGTCGGACTCTACTGGATTGTTAAGGGTTGAAGAAAGAACCACATCGTCGTGATGTTCTGCAATAAATATATTGAGTTCGCTGTTTTAAATATATACGCGTAATAGTGTTCGATGGTTTGGTTTTCGTTCGAACGTTCCCCAGGATCGGATGGACCGTTGGTTGGTTAGCCGGTATTCCCTGCGGGAATCTCGACAGTCCTCAGTTTCGCTGTTCTTGCCTGTTCAGAACGGTCAGTGCTGTGTTCTGGCTGTCGGGCAGCATGCTTCTCGGGCTTCGTATGTCGAATATCTTCTTCAAGGATCGTGGGAACTGGCTATTCAGGCCTGCGTAGATGATTGGATTGTAGCAAATGGAGGACTTGGCCAGCAGAGCCGGTAGCACAGCCATGGACGCTGACGGTTTTGCCTGCGGACCGGCACAATGAACACTTTCGACGATAATACGGTGTTTAGCGAAGACCTGTTCGTCTGATAAGATATTTATTACTATATTTCAGCCAAATATTATCTTCAGTTGCTTCTGCGATAATACAATAGTTGCAGAAATATCTATTGTTATGTTTTACCTAAGTAGTATCTCTTCTGGGCTGCGCTACTAGTTCTGGCAAGATTTGTTATTATTTATATTCTAGCTAGACATAGTATCCTTTGGTCTGTTTAAATAGTTTCAATCTCAATATCCTATTTTCTGTTGTATTCCCTTCTGTAAAGATTTCAGCATTGTTCCTATTGAACTTTTAAAAGCCTTTCGTATTGCAAGTTTATACTATTGATCTCGAATTTTGATTTAATCGTTCAAGAAGGCGGTTCGATTTATAACACCAACTTCGGAATAATTATCGTATTTTCTAGTTTACAGCGGTACCATTAACGTTACCTTAAATTATCGCTAGCAGTATTCAACGTAAAGGTACCATAGTTTATGACCGTAACTCCAGTACGATTATACTTCCTGCCTATTTTAGACCGACAGGATTAACGTTGTTTCCCATTCGGAGAAACTGCAACGAAGATTTCTCGTTACATTCGTAACAATGAAATCCTTCGTTAAGACCGTGATATATCGTTCGATTTGTACTGTCCCGGCGAAACACTGTTCCGCGGAGATAACGTAAATAGGAAAACTTATAACAATACTTTCACCGCGACGCGCGTGCTCAGTTAAAACTCTCCGCTGTCGTGCGAACGTGTACCGAGTCGTTTCAGTCCGCTTGTTTTTTGCGTTCGACACTGTTTCTTTCTGTCTGATTCAAATCCGCGCTTAGCGGCGCTCGCTTTCTCGAGACACGCCGCGAACGGTTTCGTTTTCGTGGAAACGCCTCGACGCGAGATACTAATCAAGACCGATGCGCTTATTATTTAATCATATGCTCCAGCCGTGATACCCGCGAAGATCCAACCGCGTGCTCGCCTAATCCATTCACTTCGCTTTCGTTTACCTTTCTAGAGATAATGCGTTCGGTACACACGTTCAGCGATCGCCGAGCGGAATAATGCATTTCAAAGCTGTTAACTGCGAGTGGGAGATTGATTAACCTTTACGTTAACAACCGATTACTCGGCTATCCATTTTTCCATTTTCTTCGACGCAATTTGTTACGTTCTCGAGACAATTCTGATAAATTTTGGGAGCCGGGCTTTGCATTCTCATTCTTTGAAATGTTTACGTCAATCCGTGCTTTGAAAATCAATTTATGCGGGAATACTTATAGATACTTATAGTTCAAAGAAACGCAAATGTTTTTGTCGATAGTGTAAGGGTTACATTGTTGGAGAAATTGAAACTTTGGCAGGAATTAATAATTGCGTAATTGAAAATTATGTTGACGAAATTGCGGAGTTCGATGTAGGGAATTTCTGAGAGCATACTTGAGTGGCGTGTTAAAATATCCAATATAGTTTTCATTGATCGTTATTAATCTATGAGTATTTGATGATTTTCTATATACTTGAGGAAATACGCGGTGAATGGAAATCGATGATTGTTCCTTTATATGGAAGACTTATTTTGTAGAAATACTTTAAGTAATGACGCACGATGTGTTAGGAATATTAAGCATATTGCAGAGGTGAGTGCATACAGCTTTTTCGAAGTTATCAGTGGCATATCTCGGGTACCTCATTGCGATGGGGTGACCTCTACCGTGAGTTGTGTGTTGTTGTTTTATGTTTCTAATTAGATAAAATGCTCTCAAAGCCTCTGTGGTTGTGGGGGTGCGCGCATAGCACCAACAGAAACGCCACCGCCCTCTTTTTAAAGAAGAAGCAACTCTGCTGGTTTAAGTTTTCGTTCCTTTATCTATCATGTGTATATATTAAATAAACTTTGTGTCGAATATACAAAATATTATTAAAAATACACCAACATTTAAATCAGAACAGAACTTGGAATATCCAAAAAATTTGGGACGGTTTAGTAGAAATAAAATTAGGGTATCTAAAGAGAGTAAAATAATTCAGAAAATACTATTATAGAACATCTAAAAAATCCAAAGAATCCAAAAATTCCAAAAAACGATCCGTCAAATATTTCGGATATTCGATAGAAGTAAAATAATTCAGAAAAAATACAGTAGAATATCTAGAAAATTGAAAATGATATTCAGAAAATAAAATTATATAAGGTAATCCGACAAACTTAGAACGACACACAAAAGAAACCACGCCACGGAATTAATTGAAAAATATCGAGTAATTAAATGGAGCGTGAAATAGAATCCAATGAATAAATTGTCCTTATCTTAACCAGAATAGCTATCTGATGCCTATAACGGGAATATTTTTCCTACGCTCCTAGACCTTCAATGTTTCGGTACAGGAATGTATATTGCTCTCTTCTCTCGCGCCTCATTGCCTTTACAAGTTCAGTTATATCTCTTCCGCCAGCTACACTTATCCATGTACTTACATCGAAATACTGAGCGGCGAGAGCCAGAGCAGCGTAAGGTGACCAAGCGATCAGGAACGCCGTTATCATCAGCGCGACCATTTTCGTGATCTTCGTTTCTCGTCTTCCGCGTGCACCTGGATCACAAGATCAACGTTTGTCCCGGAACAACCGTGACATCGGGGCATCGCGTGTTCACGTGCTACAGGAACAGGGAGTGAAGACATAAAAAGGGTACCGAGATCACCGTGATGAAACCTCTTTGTAAGCGGAACAGGCGGTGCTTTGCGAGGAGCGGTTACTGGAACCGTCATGTTTTTATCGTTTTAACGTTCACGAAGAAATCACGGAAATCGCTATTCTATTCGGTGCGAGAAAATCTAATGACCAGTTTCTAATGTTCTTTCTCCTATCACAGGTCTTTCCGAACAAGAACCATTCCGACAACTTTCCTTGCTTCCAAGCGGAACTTTTGATCCGTTATTACATAAAGATTATTCCTTCGAAATTGCTCAGCTGTTAACGGATTCCCGGTAAAAACCGTTTCAATTGTAATCCATGTCGTACCGGTCAATACAGAATAAACAGAAAAATAAGTTGTTGAATATTCTATATCTCGATTAGATTAGTATAAATTCAGATAATTAGATTAGGATAGAAATCAATTACATTCGACTGTGTTGAAAGTTTTAATTTGAGAAAAGACTGTATTTTAAATGCCCTGTCCAGAGAAACGACCGAGGAAAGGCGAATTCATTTAGGAACTCCGGACGAGGGGACACGAAATCGTATGGCAAGAAAGTGTAACCAGATTACCTGTTCTCTTCTTCACTTTCCTCAACGTTAATATAATCGCCAGGTAACTGCTGCTGATCACTATGACCGGAATGACCAGGCCGAAAGTGAATAGGAAGCCAATGTAACTCTCGCTTTTCGTGACCGGATCGTGGACTTCCCAGGAGACACTGCAGGACACGTTTCCTGCTTCCGGCCCGTAGCTTCCCCAGCCGACCAACGGCGGCAACGACAGGCAGAGCGCGTAAATCCAGACGAAGAAAGCCAGTATCATGGCTGTCCTATTGATGGCAGAGGCACACGAGTAAAATGACGAGATGGAGAACTCCATTCTTTCCTGGGACATAACTTTTTATTATCGTCATCGCGAACGAAGCGAAAAGAAACAGGAAAAGAAAAAGAGAACGAGGAAAACGCTATTGCTGAACCTAGAACAATTTAGTAACGTGTCAATTAGAATGTTAATTAAGTACGTGACATAATCTTGAATACTTCCAGCCTAATCTTTGGACGATCAGTAAGTAGAAAGGCAACGGTTCCATATTAATTACAGAGAATTAATCGCACCAGCAGCGTGCTACTCTGTCATTTACTCTGACAAATGACAGTTACCACGATCTAAGTTGTTCCCTTTGCGGTCTCGACGCATTACTGAGAATTGCGGTTGTGAACTTCTGCGCCACGGTATATACCAGCACTTGTTACCGTACGAAGTTCATAAATGTTCATAATAAAGCTATAGAAATGTTATAAGTAAAACGAAAGTTTCTTAGCGAAACAGAACCCATTGTATCGAAATTTTCAATCGAAAGGAGAGACGGACAGTTCATCTTGAAGATGAAGTTGCGCGGAACAATACGAAGTTACGGGGGACGTAAGAAACTGTTAGGGAAGCTCTTGATCGTTAATGAAAGTTGAATGAGAATCTGTCTCTTTATTGCCGGCTTCTAATCCACGGTCGACGCCAGTCGAAGAAAAGAGGCTGCCGTTGTTAATCCAAAGTTAATTGCGAGCGTGATTCTCGGGAGAACTTAATCTTGAACGCGGCTGGATCCTCAAGGAGGACATTTGTAATTACCTTGGTCGAAAGCGCTGTGAACTACTGCTTCGGCTGGCTAAGTGATATATTAACCCTTTGAGGTCGAATCTCGCCGCTTTACCGACATCGAGCTTGCATACCTAGTATCCGGGACTGCTGACGAACAACTAATTGCTTTAATAACAAGATGCACTTCAATGGGCAAATTCAGCTTTCCACGGAGAATATTTTCCACGTTCTTCGAATATCGTTCGTTCTTCTATTTCTTTCAAATTCGCGCGATTAATGAATAATAAAACGAAACTTCCCGTGGCATCTGTATTTTATGAATACTTGAAATATCCGAAGCATCGAGGAAAACCAGTTGATTCTTTGTAAATACGATTTCGCAATTCTTTATGAATATTAACTATCTCCCCGCAGCGTATTCAAGATATTACCAATTACTCTCTGTCCCATTAAAGACGATATAAATTTCCCTGTCGCAAGAAAGAGCTAACGGTGTTAATTAGCCACCGTAAAACGTTTCCTTGACCCGTTGGAGAAGCAAGATGCCTTTTGCGGGCCCCGTGGACGCAGTCAAACTTTTCCTCTTTATATTGCTAATGGAATAGTATTAGCTGCGATTCTTGGACAAAATATCTTCTCAGTTATATTGCTCATATCCATTAAGATTCTCAACGATGTTTCGATCGAATGGATTTACAGAATCATCGAAGAATCTCATCATCCGTAGTGTTCCTTTCTATCGTCGAGTTTCATTATATCCGAACACCAGTACTTGTTCAGAATAATTTCCAATGAACAGTCAATCAGTATTTATTATTTAATAAAAGAAGAAAATTTGAAGATAACAAAGCATCGTCGATTTCTTTCGGTGTTAATTACTAGATGAAAAGGGAAATCGACCAAGTGTAAAAGAGATTGATCGTGAAAACTGTTTTCACGATGATTATGGTGAAATAGATTGAACGTTGACCGGTTACAACCCATTTCGTTCATGACTGGTTCACGCACGTGCGTCCAGCCACGACGCGACAACGCCTGGCTACTTTTTGGAGCGGAACCGGGCCGTCCGCCCGGCCTGTCCTACAATTCCAGTCAGCAAGGCGAGAGCCGCAGTTTCATGAACAGGCACCCGAATATCTTTCTCATGGATCGTAAAGAAAAGATCTACCAAAGCTGACAATGCCTACGAATATTTTGTAAAAATCGGCACATTATCCGTTAAAAACAATTATTATACAGATCAATAAATTTATCTTAAAAAACAGAACAAATTGACTATAATGAAAACATAGTTGAAGTGCATAATTTGTAAAAATAATCGACACATTATCGATTAAAAGCAATTATTATACAGACCAATAATTACGTCTTAGCACATTCGCTATTAGCGCCTATTTCGGCAACGGTTTCCTCAATTACAATATTTTATTCAATCCAGTAAATCTTCTAAACAAAATATTAAAAAAATGAAACTGAAACGAGTCACTGAGTTCCTAAATATAATGTAGTTTATAATTTCTAATGACAATATCTATAGGATTAATTTCATTTTCATTAGGTAAAATATAGGATTACGGCAGTCACAAATATGTGACGCTTATAGCGAACATGTTAAAAAACAAAACAAATTGGCTGTAGTGTGAATGACATTTAGTAAATGTCCCCTATCGTTTCGAACTTTTCATTTGGAACAATCTTTCGTATTTTCGTATTTTTACCGTATATCTCTTCCGAAAAGCGTCTCGAGAACCGAACAAAAGATGAAGTCGAACCTTATTTACCGTATGGACAGCGCTCTCATCGGTCTGGCGACCAGCAGCCACCTCTCCACCGCCATTACCGTCAAGTTTCCGATACTGGCGAATCCCAGAGTGGACATGAACCAAGCGTACCTTCAGGAAAATAGAAATCGAACGGATTATATTACGATACACAGTCTTTTGTTTTTTTTTCAGTTTCCTTTCCCTGCAGAGATAGCATTGTTCGTTCGTGAAACGCTGTTGGAACAAACGTACATTTCTTTCCATACGTATCTCAATATGTGTTACCCTTACTTCGACACATAAAATCGAAAGCTGCCGATAATTATACGAATAATTGAATTATTCGGATTAAAAGGTTTAGTCCTATAATTTCTTGTTATACTTTCACAGTTTAA